ATACACTTTTGGGATGAGAAAGCTATCCAAGACTTCTTTCAAAAATGTTAGAGGCGAAAACAAAAAAATAATGAATTACCGTGACCAATCGCGGATCCATTCTACAGCTTTATCTGTATCAAGATGATATCTGAACATATGAATAAGCCTCAGCACTTTGTCGGACAGGTCTGGTCGCCTTTTAATTTTTCTTCCGCATTCGAGCGGACATTTTGGAGCCCCTCTAAAAAGATATAAGCGTATAACAAGCCAAAAAATGAGCATTTGACTCACGAATAATGTTCTTCTGAGGGATGATAGCGCTGCGCATGTTGTACCAGCTCATTCGGTCTACGGACGCCATGGTCACATTTGAAACATTGCAAACATATGGTTTTGGGGTGGCTCAGAGTTTTCGCAAAGGACTGTGAAACAGACAAATACGGGAATACTTCGCCAAGTTGCTGTTTGTCACTGAAAATATAAAATGGCGCTTGTACAAAAGAAATAAAATTAATACCCTATCTCCAAGGCGATAGCGTACGCATCTTTATCGGTCAGATGTCTAGCTAGCATGTGTGCAATCTGACCGACCGTATTTGGATAAATGTGGCTTGGACGCCAAGCCGATAAACACCCTTTTACGGGACACCGAACTCTGAACAGAAGAAAAATAACGATGACTGAAAAACGAACTGAAATCTCAACTCACGGTGAGTTTACACTCCTTCGCTTCCGTGGAGCTAGTGCAGCTGGTGACATTAGGACTGATTTGCCCAGCCGCAAATCTCTCCTATATTTTCCCCCAACTTCAACGCAGCGGACCCAATGGGCACGAAGATTAGCGAGCTTGGGAAATGAGGCTTTCTCACAAGAAGAACAAACGAGATAGCCCTCCTGAATAGAAATTGATTAGTCAGTGGATTTCGCTGAGAAAATAGTATCCGATGTCAACCTGGGATGGCTCCAGAAGAAATTTCAAGGGATTGGCATGCTTACTTGTTGACATGCGATATCTGAAAAAAATTTTACTAGACACAAATTGTACTGCA